CAGAGGTATATTCACCTCATTTAGTGATCTACATTTAACACCTCTGAATTTTTGATGGGACACAAACACGTTTTCAACATCATCACATGAGTCTGTGTTACGTTGTTCAAACTGCACTCGACGTAAAAACACCTACATAGATTACACAAATGAAATTGCTGCCAGTTTTCCAAATGCCGTCTTTCTTTTTAACTGACTCCTCCCTACCATTCAAGGATTAGGCCTCTTGTCCACATGAGATTTTAGGACAGAAACCATCGACAGTCTGAGCTTACCACGTGCCCATCTGTCTTACCCACAACTGCACACTTGCACTCATAAACACACTTGCGCTCTCTGGGAGGAATTGCACCATAATTATGCCTAAGGTAGAAGTGATTAATTTTTTAATGGATCTAATGTTTTATTCATAATACCGATCCACTCTTGGCTATGACAAAGCACAGAAAAAAAAAGAAGAAAAAACTGTCAGATATCGGGCACATGGCAAAACTGGCTGTTAGCAATTTTTAGAATGATTAATCCCACATCTCAGAGGTAAACTTTAGGCCAAATATGTAAAGACAGAGATAAAGATCTCATGAGTTTATCATAAATATGCCTGTTCTGCTTTGTGCTTTGTTCTTTTATGGGTTAGTTTAGCTAATCATGAATATTTTAACCAATAAAAACAACGTTTGTAACAGAGTAAATAAATAAATGCAGAGAAAGTGACAGTAGCAGGGAAGGGTGTTGTCTCCGGAGTGAGGCCGGTAAGACCGGTTATTCTGCCCTAGAAATCCATTTACAGCACCGAGCACTCTGCCTAATCATCCACCCCACTGTGAGAGGAATACTGCATCCTGTGCAAACAGCGCTGCAACGCTGGAGCACATTTAGGACTTTCAAACATTACTCCTTCCTCCTGCTGATCCTCGCCCTCCAGTGTATGAATAAAACCTCGCTCGAAACAGACTGTTTGTGGAGCAGAATGAAGATTAAAAAGGAGATGAAGGTCGTATGCACAAATGACTTTATTCTGCATAATAAAAGCGCGCATGACTATTGAATTGAGTTTGCCTGGAGCAGCTGAAAGTAAGAGCTATAATCATTTTACAATCAAAAGATAAATTAAATGTTATTTTTGTACCTTTGATTTGAAAACTGTTGTTGCCAAATGGCCAATGGTGACAATGACACTGATTTCCTGCAGATTTTGAGGGTTATACGTGTTATCGATTAAATTTTAAAAAACAACAACAATTAGTTTTCACATGGTGGTGCAGGAAACAAAGGGCGCAAATGTTTTTTTACCTTCATTATTGTTTGTCACTGAAAGCAGAAGGATGATTATGTTTTGTCCAGTTCTGTGTATTTATGGGTGTGCATGTGCTTATTGACTTAGCAAAATATTTCGCAAGCTGACAAATATTGCTTAAACTTTCAGAAAGAAATGATTGGGTTGACATTACCTGCTTCATTTCTGGATTCAACCCAACACAATATGGCCTCCACAGTCAACTGACCTAATTAAAACAAACTGGCTGTAAGTCAGCATACTTTATGTATTAAGCTAAAATTTGGTGTGGTAGTAGCTGAGACTCATCCCCAACAATAACATTGAGCACAACCCATTGTACAACATATTTGATTAAAACCTTGGCATTAACTGTTGGAGTCAAACCTGTTTGTCTGTTAGCAAAATGTCTCATGTACTACTGGATACGTTTTTAAATCAATGAACAGTTCCGCCCCATCCTATCTCACTGATCTTCTGCAGCCATATGTCCCACCGCGCTCTCTGAGGTCAGCAGACCAGATGCTTCTCTCAGTCCCAGAAACCCGTCGTAAGCTCAGGGGTGACAGGGCTTTCTCTGTTGCAGGTCCACGACTGTGGAATGAGTTGCCACTGAGTGTCCGGCAGGCTCCCACACTCTCAGTCTTTAAGTCTCGCTTGAAGACCCACTTCTATTCGCTTGCCTTTAACACGGTGTGATTTGTTTTGGTCCGGTCTGTTCTCTACTCTGTTGGCCATTTTAGTTAGCTTCTGCTGCTATTTGTATCTGTATTTCTATTTTATGTTTTCCTGTTCGCTGTGCATGTTTGTGTTCTTTTGTACAGTACTTTGGTTGGCCTTGTTGCTGTTTTAAGTGCTATATAAATAAATTGGTATGGTATGGTATGGTATGGATAAATTTCACTGAACCGTTCAGAAAGTAAACATTAGATGCGAGTCTACGACGGACTAATTTTTGGAGACAACCTCGTTTAAGACAGCCACCACAGCGAATCAACCTTAGTGTACACAAAAATGTTTATACCTCAGTGAGTTTTGCAAATTTGGAGCTAAAATGTGTTGTGATAGTAGCTCACAGTAATTCACAACACATACTCTGAGTGCTAACACATCGTGTGAGATTATGCAACATAATCCAGGTAAAAATTCCAACATCGTTCAGTCAGGTCATCTGGATGGATTATATTTTCGTTGAGATGTTTCGTCCTTCATCCAAAGGACTTCATCAGTCTGAGTCACCTGATGAAGTCCTTTGGATGAAGGATGATGATTCGTCCTTCATTCAAAGGATCATCACCCTTCGTCCAAAGGACTTAATCAGTCTGAGTTTGTTTGTGGCTCCTCGGACTCATGAAGTCCTTTGGATGAAGGATGAAATGTCTCAACAAAAAAAGAAACTGTCCAGATGACCTGACTGAACTTTGTTGAATTTTTTTACTTGGATTATTGTGCATGAACTTTGATGTTTTGAACCACTTTGGCTATGGCTGCCTCAGAGGAGTCGACAGGGGAGAGGGTGGGCCCCAGAAACCATCTTACCACCAGCAAACTGGTTGGTCTCTATGGAAGTGTGCTGCTTGTTTGTGGCTCCTTGGACTGATGAGTTCCTTTGGATGAAAAGCCTCAAAAACAATAACAAAAAATAAAAACTGTCCAGATGACCTGATTGAACGAGGGTGGATTATTGCATATGATTACCCATAATGTAATTGTCAATGTTTGACCAAAATGGCAAAAACCTCTCTCAACAAAAGATGATCTTGGTCTTAAACTCTGGCATGAAAGGCAGTGGGCCATATGCATGCCTTCAAGGAATGCTATGCCTTTAATATTTATAGAAGTTGATGCGCAGGAATGCATCACCTTCGATAATTTGCAAACAGAAAAGTGTTATTATCTAGGACATCTGCAATCTATTTCTTTTTTATTATTATCAGATTACTTTAATCTGCTCTTATTTTGCTTGCTCATCCTAGCCGTGCACAGCTAATAATGCAGAATGCCACAGATTTTCTAATTTATCACTCCCTCCCAGCTGGACTTGAAGTGACAGATTTATTAGACAGCCATTTGCAGCTGTATGTAACGCTGCCAGAAGAGAGTCGGTGAGACTGACAGAGTCGGAGCAGTTTGATGACCTCTCCGTGATAATAACCATAGAGGAGAGAAGGACACAGGAGAAAGAGGAGGACGGGGAGGCAGATAAGAAGCGAGAGTAGAGATATGCAGACACGGGAATCTCATGTTTTGTAAAACTGGGAAGGATCAACACGGTTCTATGACAATATGTTCACACTTACTCATACAGTGTAATGGTTTGCTTTATTGTTGAAATTTCACTTCAAAGATTAACCTAGCAGGCCCACATTCTCTTATGGAAGCATTTAGTAGCTAAAAAGTGAAACACTATAAAGAACTGGCTTTTTCTGTGAAAATACTCTGAGAATGCTGAGTGCTGGATGACTTGCTGAAATTCGCTTAAAGTGTGTTGTTAAAGCTAAAAGAAGCAAAACACTACCCAAAAGATAAAAAGCTAATAAGCAGCAAAAGGCTAGATAAATGTAGCAAACACCATTTGTTTAGTTTTTTTCTTCTGTTTTCTCAATTAAGAAATATGTTACTACACAAATGTATGCTCTGAGCACCGTGTTTGGTTTCAAGGTGCTGAGGCTGATGAGTTTATCAGTCGGTGGGGAGTTGGGTCAATTTTTGCATCGTATATAGGCTCGGATCAGGTGGATACATTTGAAGCCTCAGCACCATCAGCTCCATCAGCACATCGGCCCATGCTCAGCATGTATACATTCAGTAACACGGAAGTTGTTAGGTTGACAAAATAGCAACAAAGTAAACCAATGGCGTTAAGCACAAGTGTGCATTTTTAATACGCAACAAACAAACACATTTTAGTAAGACATTTTAGTAAAGTTCCAAGGTATCATGTTTTTTTCGTTAAAGGTTTATGCAATCTACCAACATTTGGGATTCGAGTAAAAAATAAATAAAAAGAAAATGACTTTCTCTGCGCTGTTCCATTATGGGTTTTGGGGAGCTGGTTACACCAGCCATTGTGTGAGAGGCGGGAAACACCCAGGACAGGTCACAAGTCCGTCATAGGAACACATAAAAACAAACGAGATAAACCACAATTCACACTCTCACTCACACCTAGAGATGATTCAGGATTACCCATACACATAACGTGTTTGTTTTTGGTCCGTGGGAGGAAACCAGAGTAGAAAACCTGTGCATGTGGAGAACAAACTCCACACAGAGAGACTGGGAGGTGAATCTGTGATCTTCTTGCTGAGAGGCAAGAGCTCTAACCACTGTTCCACCCTCCAAAATTATGCCCTCCTGTTCCATTTTCATCTTAACAACAAACAAGCAGTAGATCAAAAAGGACGGGGCCAGAGATGCTCCTTTTCTGAGGATTTTCCATCCATTCAGGGAGGTGGAGAGGTGGGTGTAGGAGGGAGCTACTCATTTTTCTCACGACCTGCTTTACCGGCTGCATCGTGAAAGGACAGGACTGAGCTGGGGAGGAGGTTGCTCTACATCAATGGGCAGTACTTATGGACGGCATGTGACCGTGGTATTGGTGCATGACTGTTAAACGATGAGGAGAAATGGGCGAGGTTACCTTCCATCTGGTCCAATCACATAACGAGGTGTGCCTCCGTGAAGGCGTGGCTACGCGTGTGAGGGGCGGTGCCAGAAGCGGAAGTGTGCCTCGGCTGATCTCTCGCTGTCATTCGGCCACGGTCGGTTCCAGGAGAGAGGGGCAGCCCAAGAAACACACACACGCACAGGGATCGGCTGGCTCTGTAGAAGAGAGAGAGAGAGAGAGCTAGCGAGAAACGATACTAAGATCAAACGGACAATGAAACCGATCGACAAAGGCCTGTAAACGAAAAAAAAGGAAACGCACCTTTGCCACGTTAACAAAGCTGTTGGATGCTAGAGTCCAGATCAGAGGCAAAGCAGAGAGCTGTGTCATTGAGAGGCAGGACACGTCAGGAGAAGGGGAAAAAAAAAAAGCTGACCGACTGCACTGTACTAGTCAGCTTTAAATCGCCCCTGAAAAGCTTTGACTGCCATTGCTTCAAGGACACCATTTCGGCTGCCAATTCAAGCGAAGGATCTCGACAAAAGACATCGCCGAGGTCGAAGGCGGTGATCAGAAGGTGAAAAGACTTTCTTTTCCTCGCCTTTTATCCTGTCTGTTCATAGAGCTAGCATTCGTGCTAACCGTTAACAGCTAGCTGGCTAACGTTAGCAACGGATTGGAAACTTAACCGGTCAGCTTTGTTAATATTAACTACGTGTCTGTCGTTGACTGCCTCGACTGCGAAAAGCTGATATAATGATAAAAAAAATAAAAAAAATGACTCCCGACTTTTTTTTACTGCGTCAAATTTCCGTCAAAGCAAACTTATGTGCGGTTGAAATTCGACTCTTCGATAGACTGCTGACAGCTGTCAAATAAGGTCGTGTGTATTATTTCTGAACGTTAAGTCGGTTTATAGTCGAAACGTTCAGGATTTGTCGATATTTTACGTGTCGGTATTCTTGTCTTTGATGTATAATTGGTAGTTACGTGTCTGTCAGCTAAATTTGCCCTTTAAAAACGTCTCCAAATGGAGACTCGGTTCGACACAGCAGTGTTCCTGCCAGGAGCTCAGCTGTGGACTTACAAACCTGCAACGTCACGAGGTTATAATTAGCTAAAGATGTAACGTTAACTCCATGGTGTTTTATTCAGTGGTACAAAATATTCCAGACAAATAGTCCAGTGTCACGAAAAGCTTTTTATGACCATAATTCGGGATTATTATATCTCTTGGAGTTTTCAAATGCACCCATTGTTAGCTAGTAAAAACAGGTATTAGAAGAGAAGACATTGTAATTAGATGTGGTGAATTGATGCTCAGATGGTAACAATAATTTAAAACACTGTAATTATATTACAATATCACAATGTTTGGAAATAAATTGGAGGTGACAGAGGTTATTGTTTTTGGAAATTAAAAAAAAAAAAGCTTAGATGTTCAGTTGGAACGGTGAATTTGTGGTATATGTTGTAATTTGTTATACTATTGAATAAGTAAGCTCTGGTGATCACGTGCAAACCCTGAAGATGAAACTTTGAGAGATGGGGACACAATGTGAAAATGTGAAATGTAATGTGTGTGTATGTGTCTTGGCGTGCACATTGTTGAATTGCTAACAAGTTAGCTATAGTTTTTTATGTTTTATAGAATAATCTTTATAAACCATTTTAAAGATATGCAGCATTTGACACTAGGCTCTTTGACACATTTACAAATTTTAAAGGCTTTTCGTTCAACGGTCTGTATTTTGTTGTAACATTGATGCCTTACAATATAACCTTTTGCTAGCTATAATTATTTTCCTTGTCAGAGAATACCCAGAACCAATTTATATTGCATTATTATCTCCCAATAATCCCACAGCATGGGCAAAATACTTTATTTCTAATATCTCCTATACTGGACCATTCAGATTTATTCTCTCGTCCAAAATCTTTATTATATTAGTATTGTAAAAAAATAATCAAATCTAATAAGTTGCATTACTCTAAGCAGGTGGCTAAAAGCTATACTAAATTAGTTATATTCTTTGTAGAAAATTGTTTTTCTATTATGGACCTAGTACGTTAACAAAAAGACCTTTTCATTTGTTGATGTCTACCACCTGGTAGTTTCTAAATCCCTTTATCAATAGGGTAGCGAGAAGGGCTGAATACTAACCTGTACACCATTCTGTTTGCTCTTCTCTCAATAGGACCAAAGAGATCAGGGGATAGCATTTGTTCTGGGGGGAGAAAACAAATGGGGGATTACGGGTTTGGAGTCCTAGTTCAAAACAACAGTGGCAACAAGTCTGCTTTCCCGGTCCGAATCCACCCGCATCTGCAGCCCCCACATCACCACCAAAATGTGTCTCAGAGCCCGGCTGCTTTCATAAACAGCACCACAGCCACAGGGAATGGCACCATGGGAGGCTCTCCCTGGCTTTTCCCTGCCTCTGCCACCCACAACAGCGTTCAAGACGAAATCCTGGGGGGGACTGAGAAGCCCAAAGCACAGCAGCAACAGGAAATGCAAGAAACACAAGAAAAGCAGCAGCAATTGTCTCCTGGGAGTCACCAGGAGGGTGGGAGTAGTGGTGGGATAATTTCAGAACTGGAAAAAGCCCGGTCAGAGGAAGCAAAGGCGGAGAACGGCACCTCTGAAAACAGTAACGGAAAGGAGAAGCAGCTTCGTCTTGAGTCACCTGTTCTGACAAGCTTTGATTACCAGGAGACGTCTGGTCTAGGGGGAACTGGTCCTGTACAGTCCAGTACCACCTCGTCATCTCTTACTGGCTTCAACAACTGGTCAGCTGCCATCCCGCCTGCGCCATCAACAATCATCAATGAGGATGTCAGCTTTTTCAACCCGGCCTCTGCCAACAACGGGCCACTGCTGTTCCAGAACTTCTCACACCATGTAAGTCCAGGCTTTGGTGGAAATTTCTCCCCCCAGATTGGACCAGCCGCTGCCTTGTCCCAGCACCACCCAGCTCCTCCACCACATCCCCACTTCCAACACCCCCACAGTCAACACCAGCAGCATCGACGCTCTCCGGCCTCGCCCCATCCTCCACCACCTTTTCCACACAGGAACCCGGCTTTCAGTCAGTTGCCACATTTGTCCAACAGCTTAAACAAGCCCCCGTCCCCCTGGGGTCCAGCCAGCTACCAGAGTCCCTCTCCCTCCCCTGGCTCGTCCACTTCGTGGAGTCCCGGAGGAGGCTACGGTAGTGGTGGAGGTGGGTGGGGTGGATCTCAGGGCAGAGATTATCGTCGTGGACTGAATGGAGGAATGACTCCTATCAATTCTATTTCCCCACTTAAGAAGACCTTTCCTAACAACCACATGGCATCCCAGAAGTATCCTCGAAATAGTCCTGCAGGCTTCAACCCCAAATCCTGGATGGATGACGGCGTGGGTCGTGATAGCATTTTCCCTTTCCAGGTCAGTTTATGTGATAGTTTCACCAAATTATTAGCTATCAAGTTTCCTAGAAGGCTCAGAATGTTCATGTAACATTAGTTATCAGCTTGGGTAGCTTGTAGCTTCGTTAAATGTCAAGGTAGCTGTATGTTGTCTATTAATATTATTACATTATTTAATATTGTTGCTATTTTTAGAAATGTGTGTGTGTGGGGGGGGTGTTAAGCATTTCATTTGTTACTAGGTTGAATCTGTCATTGGGCCCTGCACTCTCACAGCTGTATGTCCCTTGTGGTGACTAACACGGCTCTGTGACGACAGTGGAGCGTGCCACGTTTGGGAGCTGATTGAAAGGAGGTAGAGCAGATGGAGGGGAAAAAGATGAGGAAGGGAGAAAAATGGCAGAGGGGGTTGTGGTTAGAAAATAAAAAAATGGCAGCGGTTCTAAGATAAATAATCAGGGTTAAAAACAAAACCCAAAGAGAGATAAAACAACCAGCAAGAGAGCATCACGACATGTTACAAATCTTATTCTTTGTTCTGTATACCTAAAGGTTATCAGCCTATTTTATTAGTTAAAATAGGGTCTAATGACATTGTCTTGTTGTGTCATTAACTAACTAAGTCATGGTTGCCGTAGCCTAACAATCCTATTAAAAAAAGCCATTCTATTTTGTAGTATAATTTTGAAAGCCAGATCTGTACTCAATGAGATGGTGCAGATAATTGCATTATCACATGTTGGAACCAGACATGATGGAAGGAGTCAGAGGAAGCATGAAGATGGAAATTCATGGTGATTAATTTTATTGATCAGTCTCATGATTGATCATATTGGTCATTTGAAGGAAGTGGGGGTGAAATGAGTGAGGTTTTCATAGACTCAGCTAGGCAAAATGTCCTTAAGATAGGTTTCTTTAAATACTAGACTAAACTTTTGGTTACTTTTGTAAAATGTTCCCTTGCCTACTGACAGTCTTGGTCTTCAAATTAATCGAGGGTCAGTCATAAATACTTTGTTGCCAAAGGTTTCCATTGTCATCACTTGTGGAAAAGTTACATTGTTTGAATGGTTTCTTTTCTCTTGTTGCCAGTTTAAATGAATGGACTGACATTAGCTTAGTTTAACTGTACAGGCAAAGCCATTTAAAAAGGCCAAAAGCAATGCTTAAGATTTTTACATGCATTTGTCTCCTCCATTGCTATAAATATCTCACAGTGCTTCACAGATTATATAGAAAGGACCTTGTACTGACATGTCTTGACTTGTCCTGAGTATTTTTTTTTCTCAGTTATCTTGTAAAAGAAGATCCAAATTTCCAACAACTGTTTGTTTGTATCTAATACTGAAATACCTAAAATAAGTTTTTAGTGAGAAAGATGCTACCTTAATCCATCTTTATAACTATTTTTGAACCAATGAATAGGTATGGATGACATTCATTAGCTAGAGATGAAAATTAGAAAAAAAATCTCAACATTAAATTACAATTCTTTTTATGTTTGGTATAACTGTAGGCATTAAACGTTTTCAGAGGATCCATTGATACAGCCACAGCCTGTTCAAAGACACAACAGCCAGTCTGTCTACAGCCCTGTATGGTACACACCCATACTGCAAATCATTGTTTAAGCTACTTGTAATTTTGACTATTCCTAAAGGTAAGTTTTTATTTTAACTGTAGTGTTTTGTATAGAGCAGTGAGCCAGTCTTTTTTTAGTGTGTGGTGAATGACGCACACTTTGACATTAGATCAGTCCCTCCTGTCTAAATGTACAAACAAGCAAAAGGAGGTCTTCTCTGGTACTGTTGCGACCTTAGTGGTTTGCGTTGCAATATCTGATGCCTTTGCAATCCTTTTAAGCAAGTTCTTTTCAGGAAAGCAGTTGGCAAACAGTATTGCAACCGTTTAGCAGCATACAGATAAATAGAAGGCGTTACGTAATGATTAATATACGCGAGCCTTCCAAATATATGCACAGTCAAATTTACCAAGAAGTTGCAACAGACTTGAAGAGTTTCTTAAGCGAGGACAGCAAACTGACTGTTGACAAGAACATGATCCTAATTGGAACATGATGCATGAAGGTTTGGTGTTACTTGTGTGTAATAGAGATGCAAATATAGCTACAAATATATCTTAAATAAATTATATATATATATAATTTTTTTCTTCTTTTGGCTTTTCCCTTCTTCAGGGGTTTCCATAGTGCATTAAGTCGCACGAAGACTTGGCAATTATTTTTGTGCCGGATGTTCTTCCTGACACAACCACACATCACCGAGCTACCGCAGCCCTCTGTGTGGAGCAGAGAGCTGCTATCTAGAGCACCCGGGGGAACAGATGGTGGGGGTTAAGGGCCTTGCTCAAGGGCACAGAGTGGGGCAAATGAGGGTGGAGGCAGGTGTGGGTGCTTCACCTATCCCACCCACATTTTGATGTTGTCGGTACCGGGAGTTGAACCAGCGATCTTCCGATCACAGGCCCACCTTCTCTAACCTCTGTGCCGGGAGTGGTTATTATAAATTAATCTAAATAAATTAGATTAATATGATTGGGTTTATTTTCCTGTACACTCATTTGCATGATACCAGTGATGGTTTAAAATTAGAATAGATTAAAAACTGTACAACAATAATGTTTTTGCCTCATCATGCAGCCCTTTTCTTTAGTCTTTGATTCATCAGAATTGTTTTTGAGCATACACAGTTGTGATTCTGCATTTCTTGGGTCTTTTCTGTTACATGCCCACGTCAGATCAGATTTACATTAGGGCTAGTATCCGCTAGTAGCCGCAGCCCACTGCTCCTTCATGTGGTTCGATCAGATCCACTAAAGTAGCATTGTCCTCTTGCCCTCTTGATTCTGCAAGGGCAGATGGTGAATGGGCTTTGAATGGCCTTACTGTGTGCGCATGTGAGGTAGGCACTGATTATGTAAATATAACCCATTTTCTAATAACAATTGGACTGTAGATGAATGGACATTATTCTGGGCAGGCTGTCGCCTCTAGAGCATTATTCAGTAAAAAAAAAAACAAGACAACAAAAACTGAACAAGATCAACAAGGTGTGGGAGAAAAGGCCACTGCTTATTTTGGTCAGATGGTGCAGCAGGTGGTGTCTTCTCCATATTTACGTTCACATTTTGTTCAGTAAAAGACTTGGCACAAAATGACCACCCAACAGGTGTTCCTGAGCCACTCAAGGTTCCATCGAAGTTTTTAGCATTTGTCCTATCTACCAGAGAGTGGTTTCAAATTTTTACTTTGTGCTTGAGATAAATCAGCTGTAGTTTTTCCCTCTTACTTGTCTTCCTCTTCCACTTGTTTTATTTTTTACACTATACACCCATTTATTTTCTTATTCCTTATGGCTTCTTTTTTTTTTTTTTTTTTTTTTTAACGAAAAAAAATCATTACATTTTTGTTGTTCATATTGGAACTCTTTTCGTTAAATATCCTTCAACTAATAACTTTCACTAAGCAAGAAAATAATTTAATGACAGTGCTGCTCAGATGACTTCAGAATTTTCCCAGAAAACAACACCCTGGCAACATTTTGCTCCACAGAGGCGTCAATGTGAAAATAATTAATTTACCAATGAAGATATTTATTTTTTTCTTGGCATCAAAATGTCTTTTTTTGGTTTAGCAGGATAAAATGGAACTACGCTAGTTGTTTGCTATATGCTTCTAGAAATGTGCAGCATACAGAGATAAATGTTAAGAAAACAAAATGTAGGTTGAGTTTTAAACCTCATTAAGCTCTGGGATTAATTAGAACATGATTTTTTAGTATAACCTGTTAGATGATTTAAAAATCATGAACAATCTTTTTTTTAAGTTTCTGCTGCATCAGAATACATTTCATATCTTTTTACACAGTGACAACTAAATATAGTCCAAGTGTTCCCATTATACAGTCTTTAATTTATCAATGTCAGTTGCTGATTTTTGTGTCACGTTTTGTTAGAAAGTATTTGTTTTATATTTTTTGAAAATTATCATTTGATCCCTCTAAAAGTTTTTTTAAATTCAGTAAAATGAATTTCTTTTTGAAGAAATTTTCAAGTAAATCAAGTGATGAATTCAAACATGTCTGTCTTATAATGAGGTTAAAACAATATTATATTACAATTTAATTTGAAAATGCTATACATTGATCAAATCATGTTGCAGCTTCAAAGCTGTCAAAGGCAACTTGGATATTAAGTTTGTCCATCAGATCTATCAGAACAGTCTTAACTCTTTTTTTTTTTTTTTTTTATATCCATTTTTCTGTCAGTGTTATATTTCACTTTTAGGATGACAATTGCCTCATCATTAGACCATTTCCTTTACATTATTTTCAGTTTACAGTTGCATCTCAATAAGAGAACATCCTGAAAAAGTTATATATTTTATGTCAGCCATTTCTGAAAGTTAAACTCATATATATTACATAGATTCATTACACACTGAGTGAAAATTTCAATCCTTTATTTGTTGTTTATTTTGATGATTATAGCTTACAAATAATCCATCCATCCATTATCTTTACCCGCTTATTCCATTTTGGGTCACGGGGGTCGCTGGTGCCCATGTCCAGCAATCACTGTGTGAGGGGCGGGGTACACTCTGGACAGGTCGCAAGTCCATCACAGGGACACATAGAGACAAACGAGACAAACAACCATTCACTCTCTCACTCACAGCTTACAAATAATGAAAATCCAAAATTCAGTGTCAGAAAATTAGAAATTTGTGAAGAGGTTCAATGTTGGAAATTCATGGAGTCACATCCTAATCAGCTGATTAACCTAATCAACTAATTTAATTAAAAAGAACTGAACTGTTGCTAGGCAGCATGGTGGTGTAACTGGTAGAGCTGCTGCCTCTCAGTGAGCAGGTCCCCGGTTCAAATCCCGGTCCGGGGGCCCTTCTGGGTGGAGTTTGCATGTTCTCACCGTGCATGCGTGGGTTTTCTCCAGGTACTCCGGTTTCCTCCCACAGACCAAAAACATGCATGTTAGACTGAT